AAACTAAAATTAATTATTTTCCTCTTGCATTTGAAATCCAACAAGCCTATCAGTGACATAAAATAGAAGAAGGTTATATTACTTGTCAAACTTCTCTGTGTTTTGACGCCAATGAGTCATATCTTTTCTCCATCTCAGATTTTCTTGACTTCCAAAGGCACTTCCAGATGGGCTTCTCTCTGTCAAACAAATTTCAAAACCAACTTAAAAATGTCATTTCAGTTGGACCACATATATGTATATTTGCAAACCTATGAGAAATATTTCACAGCATTAATTTTGTACACAGCCATTTTATCCTCAGTACAAATGAAGAAACTTGAAAATGATGCTTTTTATTAAAAATTTTCACAACAGTTACAAAAGAAATGTATTTGTTACACGGAATATTTTTTGAAAAAACCTCACCCTTCTAAATACGCAAATATTCTAACACTGATTTCCTTAAACTCTTAACCATGGCTACATGATATGACCTTATGATACAACCTTACTTCCTACCATTCTCCCTCTTGCTTACCTCACTCCAGTAACTGTTCTCCTTGCTATTCCCTAACAACATGTATAGTCTCACTCTGTATGCTCCTGATTCAGTGCCTGTGCAATGGCTGATGTTCCTTTTATCTGATTGTTCTTCCCACAAATTTTCACTGGCCAATCATTCATCACCTCCTCAGAAAGGCTTTTTCCCATCCTGCAATACTTCCTTTCAATTTGCTTTGTTCCTTTCCATATTACTTATGACCACAAGAATATAAGCTACTTGAGAACAGAAATGATATCTGTTTTGTCCAGCACTTTATGTCAATGCTGATAAAGTATCTGGCACATATTGAGAATTCAACAAGTTTCTGTTTAATAAATAAACAAAATAGGAAGGATTCCTAAAGTAATTACTTCCTTTGATCTACATAAGGCAGGACAAGAGGAAAAACAGGGCTTTCTGTCAAGAAGTTTCTAGGTTTGAAGGTAGACTGAATGGTATGGGCTCCTTTAAGGGGCAGCAGCAATAGAAATAATTCATATGAATCCACCAGAAGTGGAGAAGGCATTGAGAATTATGGAGAAATATACAAATACATAATTAAACAATGGACTTGGTCATGATATCAAGCTTTCAACTAGAAAACTTTTGAAAAAGATGAGACTTTAAGTTGGTTAGGAGGATGAAAGAGTAATGAAAGTAAAAATTCAGAATTCAAATAGAAATTTTAGAAATACTGAAAAATAAAAATACAAAAAAGTACAACTACTATATGTCATTAAAAAATACAAAAAAATACTGAGAAACAAATGTCATTTGCTGCACAAAAAAGAACATGTCTGCATTTCTTCTTTCCCTTCCTTTTCTCTTTCTCTCTTCATTTTGAAATCTCTACTTTTAAGAAATTTTGTGACAGAAAATAAAAAAGATATGCATATATTAAGATATTTAGCAAAATAAATAACTATTTACATTTCTATCATTCACTTCTTTTCCCCATGAAATTGTCTCACCTCCTTAGTTAAGAATGTCTATTATTAGGTAACCTAGCTTAAATGTACAAATGTAAGATGTGAAAAGGCTTAATTTTTCTAAGAAAAGAAGAACTTCAATTCCTTTATTCAAACAAAGACAGTTGTCCTGAGGCCACAGGTATAAAAATATTACAAATATATATTAACAATTCCCTTCTCTTTGTCACTTAGTTTGTGATCTTAGGCATTTACTTCTTTGAATTTTACTTTCTTAATCTAAAAGATGAATATAATTATTCACAGGTTTTGGTATTAATTAAATGACCTAGGTAAAAATTAATTTTCATATTTTATTTTAGAGGGTTATACATAATAAATGAGTTAAAAGAAAACCCAAAGGCACATTGTAATCTATATATAACTAAAGTGAAAAAATGGTGCTCTATTAATTCCTTTAAAGGAAAAGATTGTATCTTACTCATTGTTAAATTCCAACTACACATTATGAACAAAATATACTTTAAGTATATTTTATAGGCTGGGCACGGTGGCTCATGCCTGTAATCCTGGCACTTTGGGAGGCTGAGG